GGTGCCATCTTCTTAGAAAGCTGTAGATACCCTTTACTAGTTAAGTTTACTACTAATGCTTGGTTTGATGATGTCTTTAGAAGAGTGTTTGCCTTCTAAGAGCCTCTTTGGAGGAAAGGGCTGGCAATCCAAGGAGGGATCACACCCCTGAGGACCTTATGGAGCCGGCTTTACTAGGACATGTGTGGCTGCCACGCACCAGGAGCAGCTCAGTGGCACCTGGTTACATGTTCTATTTCCTTGGATGTGACAGGTGAAGGGGACCAGACTCCTGTTTAGCACCAAACGCTCTGCCCTCGAGCTGATTCCAGCTCATCGTGACCCTTCATCAGCTTCAAGGCTGTGTCTTTCTAAGAAAGACTGCCTCAGCTTTCTACATCAGAGCCACTGGTGAATTTGAACTGAGGACCTCTTGGCTAGCAACCCAACTCCTATCACACTATGCTACAAGGGCTCCTTTATCACTCAGCACAAATCACTAAATTATAGATGGAAAAATGGAAATTCAGACATGAGAAATGAGTTGTCTAAGATCTCACAGTCTGTGGGAAGCCAAATTTCATGCTCAATATTTATAATAAAACAAATGCTTTATCAGGATCTGAGGGAGGCTGATACAAGCTGGAAATCACCCTGAAGCACTGAGGCAATCCTTAAATGTTTACAGGGGTAGACACTAAGGCAAACTTTAAGCGTTTACAGGATTCTTGTATTTGCTAACCCCTCCCTTCTGAAATAGCATTTGGTTTATTATGAATATTTAGTATGAAATTTGGCTTCTCACAACAGTCTATACAAAGGTGAGTGTTGACTCAAGTATAATGTTTTCATTATCTACTTAGCCAAAAAAAGTAGAAGCTATAATAAAATGAGCTGGATCACCATGGTGACTGGAACAGTGAGGGTAACGCCGAGGAGATCGTGAGGATGGTGCAGAACCAGTGCTGACAAGTCACCTCAGCCTCACAGGGACCCTGAATGCAGCAGAACCAACCCTGCGCTGCCCTGTGCCGCCCTGCCAAACTCCTCTGTGCTGACGTGCAGGGCCCCCACCCCCACCCCCAGCCTGTCGTAGGCCTCCTGCTCCTTTGCTAACCCACCACTTTTCCAAGCACAATGCTCTCCTCCAAGGACGAGCACCTCCTGATAGCATGGCCAAAATATGTGGGACAAAGTCTCATCGTCCTTGCCTCGAAGGAGCAGCCTGGATACACTTCTTCTAAGAGTTACATGTTCTTTTGCAGTACATGGTTTAGTAAATTAGCTTAAATCAACTGTGGAAGACTGGGTAAAAGTAACAAATTCTAAGACTGTTGAAATGGAATACTTTGATACAGATAATGTATGTGTTTATGTGAGTGATAATATGCAAAAATTACAATTACACATAGTTTATTACTATTTTTCTTAACCTTTTATTTTATTCTGATTTACTTACAAATTCCATATACATTATTTTTGACACTGGATCATTCCCATTACTTTAACACATCCCTCCCTCCACCCACCAAATTGTGTAACCCTGTGATTACGCTCCACCCATTTTCACCCCGTGCTCCTACCCTCCCCCCTTAGATCCTCATACACATTTTACTAGTTAGTTGTCTATTTCTACAGTAATGGTTTTATACAGTATTTATCCTGATGTGACTGAGTTAGTTCACTTGGTATAATGCTCTTCAGTCCCTCCCAAGTTAGGTAATGATTTACAAAATCATTTCTCCTGTGTGCTACGTAGTATTCCATAGTGTGTACGAACCATAATTTCTCAATCCATTCAATTGTAGTTGGACATCTGGGCTTTTTCCATATTCTTGCAATGGTGAATATTATGAACTACTATGAACATTAGTGTACAAATCTCCATTTGTGTCTCAGTTGTCATTTTCTCAGGGTATATTCCAAGCAGTAGAATAGCTGGGTCATATGGAATTTCTATGTTCAGCTTTTTGAGGAAACACCAAACTGCCTTCCAGAGTGGTTGTACCATTTTACAGTTTACCATCAACGTATAAGAGTTCCTATCTTGCCATATCCTCTCCAACATTTATTACTTGCTGTCCTGTTAAACTTTGCCACTGCTACTGGAGTAAGATAGTATCTCATTGTGGTTTTGATTTGCATCTCTCTTATTGCCAGTGATTTTGAGCATTTTTTCATGTGTCCGTTGGCCAACCGAATATCCTCCTCTGTGAAAAGTCTTTCCATGTCTCTTACCCATTTTGTAATTGTGTAATGTCTTTTTCTTATGGAGGTCCTGTAAGGTTCTGTAGATTTTGTTATATGAGATCCTTGTCTGAAATGGTATTACCAAATATTTTCTCCCAATCAGTAGGTTTTCTTTTCACCTTGTTGGAAAAAGTTTTTGATGAGCACAGGGATGGCCCCAGTCATCAATTTTATCCTCTCCAGATTGTGCATATCTGGCTGTGTACTTGGAAGTCTCTTTAAACCATAGACTAGGCTGTTTAAGCTTGATCCCAGTTTGTTCTGATGAACTTTATAGTTTTGGGCTTTACTTTCAGGGCTTTGATCCACCCTGAGTTGATTTTTGTGTACTGTGTGAGAGTTTAAAAACTTTTACGTTTTTTCATCAAATTATGTTTTAGTGAAATAACACACACAAAAGAATGAATCAATTGCTATAGAATTTGTGGATTAAAATACAGATAATACCAGTTATCCACACACACTTCTAAAATGAACGTTTACGGAGACCCTCCCACATCCCATGCACGCATACGCACATCCCTCTCTCACACTATTCTTTCTGCCCATTTCTAGATGGGATTCAGAGAAGCACAGACCAAGTTCTCACTGTTTATAGTAAGACAAGATTCGAGCCAAAGCTTCTGATTCCAAGACCCTGTACCCCTCTCCACACTGAAATATATGTAACACTACAGCTGCTCAGTCATTTCCAAAGTGTCCTGTCACCAAGAGGTAGCTGTAAACCATCCTTAGATAAAGAATTGGAAATCATGAATCCAAACCCAGCTTAAGAAGTTTGGTTTTTTTATTTATAAAATAGTCCACATGAAAGTATTCATTCAACAAATACTGAAACACTTTCACAGACCCACTGTTATGCAAAGGAGTTTCAGTGTGCAGTGTGCTAGGAGTTGGACTGCCAACCTAAAGGTCTACGGTTTAAACTCACAAGCTGCTCTGCACGAGACAGATGTGGCAACCTGATCCCTTAGAGATTCAGTCTTGGAATTCTGACTGGGCCATCCTACTCTGTCCTGTGGGGTCGCTGTGGGCCCAGCCTCATTCACCAGCAGTGGGTTGGGTTTGGAGCACGAGGCAGGACCACAGCAGGACCTGAGGAAACAGTCTCTGAAAGCACTCTACACAAAACCACGTCCCCAGCGCTCCTAACCTGAAGGGCCTGGAAACACATCCTTCGGAAGCTGCTGCTGGTGCTTCCCATCACAACCCCCATGATGGCGCTCACAGCCACGGCGTGGGAGGCCTGCAGTCTCTGCTGAGTCTGGGAACATGAAAAGGAAGGGTGCTATATTTCACCGCACAACAATCCCCAAAGAGGCCAAGGACTTCATTAGAGCTTGATTTCCTCCCCCACTAACAATGTTTACTGAGATGATAACATATTGAGGACATTCAGGTCTTAAAATAAATCAAAGAAATGCTCTTTCACTGAGATGACACACTAACACAGCCACATCCAGAACAAACAAGAGGACTAGTCAGTAACAGACACATTCACTACCTAAAACCAAAACCTTCACACTTTGCTCTTTTAATTGGTTGTATTTTCTATGAAAATAGAGTCATGTGAAGCAAGAAATGTCTTCTCAAAAGCACACAGAACAAAGGCATCCAGAAGGGTGAGAGAGCCCCTTGGGGCTCACTCCCCCCAAAAAAAAAGTTATATTGGGGAGATTTAGGGAAGCAGTAGATCCAGAAACACAGTTGAGGAAGGGAAGTGGAGAGAAGAGGAAGGAGCATGTTATTGGTCCTTTTTCTTGATTATTTCTGGCCCTATTTATTCAAATTCCCCAGTGACAAGGTGGGACTAAGGCGAGATGGCGTGAAGGCCTGAGCTCACAGGCTAGATGCAGGTACAAGAATATGCTGGTGACAGGAGAGGAACCATGAAGTGGCACCGAGGAGGCCACTACAGAGAGCACCTGTTACGTCCAGTAGAGAGCAGGGAGAGGGAGCTGCCAGGGTGTTACCTGAGCCACCTGGCGACACTTCTCCAGGGCCTGGTCCACGGAAGTCTGGATGGAGTCCCGCAGCACGTGTTGGTTCTCCAGGAGGATGGTGTGGAGATGAGTAGCGAGCAAGGTGTGGGCTCCTAAGGGCAAAAGAACCAGGGCCATGTGCGCCTGTAGCTAGAAGCTCAGAGCCAGGGAGGAGGCCCTCCTGAAGGAAAGGTCACTTCTGCTTGACATCAAATCACCTTTTTTTTTTTTTAAAAAAAAAAATATAAAAAACCCCCAACACAGAAACTTAAAAATCTACCTAATTCCCACTTACAAACAAAAGAATGCTCATAAATATGAGAGACGACTATCACTTTGGCAGATACAAGTGAAAGTTCCCATTTAATTCACAGAACTACGGCAAATTCTACCACCCTTCAGTGGTGATAAGTCACTTCATTTTTCCCCACTTTGATATGAAAAAAAATGAGTTTCAAACCACCTGTTATCACAGGTATGTTGTGTGCATAAACTGACACAATATACCTACGGTTTTGAAACATACTGTATTTTAAAGGACAACATTGCTCCTGTTATGACGGCATCTCAGTTACTGTAGTCTACAGCCCCACTTTAAGGACTGCCTCGTCAAAGCTGAGCCAGGTATGAGCAGCCACTCAGTGTCTTCCTGTTTCTGTCATTAAATGGGACCCTTTGCACCAGGCCCTTATCCCTCTGCCTCTACAAGAGAGAAACTCTCTAGAAATCCGCCATGAAGCAGTTACAGGCTGTTGAGCTCTGAAACAAGTCTGAGAACAGAAGTTCCACTAAATGACCACACTACCCCCTGAAGTGGCCCCTTCTAAATGCAGACATCCCATTAAAAAGCCATAGTTCATTCCCAAAATGGCTCATACCAGATGCTTTAGTAAAATAATGAGTTAATCGTAGAAAAGTAACCATGACAAGATGGGCAACAGGCCAATGAGTGCTTTTTAAAGACACATGGAAACAGACTTCGTGTGTGTGTAGTTCCTTACAATCTGTTTCCTAAGAAGGCGCTGTGAAAAGCCGTCAAGGATGCGCGGGGAGGAGGAGCAGGTACAATGACTGCGGTCCAGCTGTCCCTCCGCTCAACACTCTCCCACCCTCACCAGTGTCTTCTTCAGATGGCCAGGCGTGGGGACAGATCAGAAAAGACGTGTGTGTTTACTAATGCCATGGTAACAGGTTTCTTTTAATCCAGCTCTGAGAACCACCGCAGAGATAGGGCAGGCGTTTGGTGTCACGATACCCACAAGGTGCACAAATTATCACAGGGCTACAAGAATGATAAGGAAAACTGGTTTCTGAGGAATCAGACTTCAACAGGGCTCAGAACGTGTTATCTGGCTGCATGTTATCCTTGGGAAGAATGATTACACTAATATTCCCTCCAGCAGGCCTCAAAAAGAAGGCTGCCAGAAGCTGGCACAGCAGACCTTACGTCTTAAGACAGTCTTCAGACTTGGAAGGGTCTTTGATATCATCTAGTTTAATAATCTCATGTTAAAAATACGAAAAGAAGAGACTCAGATGATGTATGTGACTTGCTTCCAAAAACCCTTCAGGAAGGTGGCAGCGGAGGTAAAATTAAACGCAGCTCTCCATTCCATTCTGAGGTTCTTTTCACAATACCAAGCATACCAGCTTCTCTCTAACCAGCCCTTCCCACCTGTGAGGGCATGTGCCAGGTAACAGCAGGCAGCCTCCTTAGACCCCCTGGCTGGAAGTGTCATTTGTTGTTGTTACGTGAAGCTTCATTAGCTTGGAATTAATTGATGACATAAAGTAATGGAACTTCGTGGTTGCTGCTGTGATGTGCTGTGGAGTCAGAACCGACCCCTAGCTGACCCTCTAGCAGGTTTTCAGAGGCAAAAAAACTCACATGGGAGGAGACTGCCCACCTTTCTCCTGAGGAGCAGCTGATGGATTTGAACTACATGCCTTTGGGTTGGAGGCACAATTCCTTACCACTAGGAGAGGGCTTTAGAACTCTTAGGACCAGAAAAGGTCAAAATTAAAAAATCAAATGCACTGCCATCAAGTCAAAATTGTCCCAGTGTGAGACTACGGAACAAAGAAGAACAGCATTTCCAAGACTGTGTTTTTTAGGAAAGCAGATTGTCATTCTCCAGAGTGGCTGGTGAGTTCAAAACACTGGCCTTACTGTTGGCAGCTGAGCTCTTAATGATTGCATTACAAAGGCTTCTTAGGAAACACTAAACCCACTGCCAAAGAATCAGTTACAGCTCAAAGTGAGTCTGTAGGCCAGAGCAGAACTTTCAGAAGTGCACCACGTCGCCTTCTCTTGTAAAGTGGCTGGTGGGTTTGAACCATCCACCTCTAGTTAGCAGCTCAAGTCTTTAACCACTGTGCCAGATTTGCTAATAAGCTGTGAGCCAGATACTAGGAAAGCAAGATGCCCCTCCAGAAAAGTATGCATGTGCTGGGGAAAGTAGGTGGGGCAGGAAGGATCCCATAGCTGACTAAACAATTTGTTCAACAAACCTGCTGGCCCCAGTCAACCGGAGCCCTTCTGACGCTGGAACTGGAAGCTGTTTTATTTCTCCTACAACTCAGTGGAAACGGGGCCATACCAAACAGCAATGTATGCCTGGAAAGCAGGGTCCCCAGGAAAATGATCAGCCCACAGGGAAAGGAGAACACAGAAATATTTCAGGAGGGGAAAATCTCCTGGCCCCTCCCCCAAACTCTATGAAGCTCCTCCTCTCCCTCTACACCACATACTCCTAAACACCATACCTCCTAGACTGCTGACATCAGAGCACACTGGGAGACTGATTCCGTGGCCCAGGCTTTCCTTCCTTAAAACGCCAACTCCCAGTCACAGTAGCTTTCAAATTTCACACAGACACGCCTCAGAGACATTGCAGGTTAGGTTACAGACCCCTTCAGTAAAGGAAGTGGCATATTTTTTGTTTCCCAGTGCATATAAAAGTGATGCTTACACTGTATCAAAGGGGGAGCCCTGGTGGCTGAGTTCACAGGGAGATGTACTACTTACCCAAAGGTCACAGCTCACTGATGGTTCAAATTCACCAATAGCTGAGGGAGAGAGATGGGCAATCTTTGCCTGGGCCATTTCTAGCCTTGGATACTTGCCAGAGGGTTAGCTCTGAGTCAGTTCCAAGCCCACAGCAGTGAGCTGACTTTGAGTTGTGTGCTACAGCCTATTAAGAGTGCAGCAGCATTATGCAAACATGGGAAATACCGTGAGGACCACAAACTGACATAAATCGAGCACAATATTGTTTGGAAAAATGGTGCTAACAGGTTTGCTCAAGACAAGATTGCTAGGAATTTCAATTTGTTAAAAGCCATTCCCACCAGCACACTCCCATGCCTCCCACCGCTGCATCTGGGATGATCTGGGATGCCGTGCCAAAGCCAAACCAAGCAGATTACACCTCCTGATCCCGTCTGGAGGGATAGAACGGTCATGGACACTTCTTCTCAAGCCTGGACGCACAACTCAGTCATCTGGGACACTATCAACACATAGTCATCCCTGAGCCTCAGCTTAATCCAAGGAAGTAAAAATCTCCAGAGGGTCTGGGCAATCTCAGATGCTCCCCAGGATTGTACTGTGTGAATGAAGCCACTGATCTAAGTAATAGACTGTGTAGAGTGCATTGTAGGAAGCAGCTGCTGATTTCTGGCCAGTGAAACTGGGAATGTCTTCATTTAATGGATACATCAAGATATACGTCTTTCCCACAGAACATATGCTTTGTCGAATTTATTTAAGGAAGGGTTTTCATTGAAATGTGTTCTCCTACAGAAATATATATAGCAGTAATTCAGATGTAAGCATTATGCAATGTCTCCCTTTATTTATCCCCTTGGCATTTAAGGACACCAGCCAGCAGCCTCGTTCTTTGATACCTACCCTGGAGTTCCGTTCTCTGTGCTGGAAATCCACAGTGGAAATCCACAAAGAAGAAAAGCAGCAGAGTCTGTTCCTTGGGGTCCACACCCTGAGGCAGAGCCCCCTCACAGGATTCGATTTGGTAACACACATCTGGCAGCACCACATCTAGAAGACATGACACAGCACACCAAGATAAATGCCCGACAGAACCTCATCCCCACTCAGTGATTCTAAAGCACAGAGAATGTTACCAAGCTGCAATTTTTTTAAATTTTATTTTGTGATTCTAATGAGTTTATAAAGAAGTTAAATTTTCATTCACTGTTGCACATTTTACCCTCTCCTTTCTTTCCCCTCCCCAGTTCACTTAAAAAAAATCATTCACTGTTGCATAATTATCTACTTCCCCCTAGTCCTCTTTGCAATGATGTATGTACCTCTTATTCTGGGCTGTTGTGGTACATATAATGCCCAATCATATTTTTCTTTTTAAAATTATTTTTTCTTAATTTTAAAGTTTACAGACTTAGGGTTTCCAGTCATTCATGGTTGCACTTTTCTCCCCACCCACCCCCTCCTCCCAAATTCACTCTTCTCCTTGAAAAGAAAAACTTTCATTTTTATGCAGTCCTCCCCCCCAAGTCCACTCCACTATACAGCCTTCACTCTGGACTTTTGTAATGACAAGAATACCCATTTTAATATCCCTTTTAAACAATTCTCTCCCTCATCTGTTTCAATGCCATATACATCATTCCTCCCGTCCTTTTCTGTCTTCCCTCCACCCAGATGTCAGACCTGTTTTACAACAGTGGCCCTATGCAGTGTTTGTCCTTTTGTGATGGAGATATTTCACTCAGTATAATGTCCTTCAGGGTCATTCATTTTGCATATTTCATGAGTTCCTTGTTTTTCAATGCTGCATAATATCCCATTGTGTGAATATACCAGAGCTGCTCTATCCATTTTTTTTTTTATGATGGGTATTTGGGTTGTTTCCAGCTCTTTGCTATTGGGAACAAAGCCGCAATAAACATGGGTGTGCTAATCATATATTTCTTTTAGACAGTCCTTTCTTTCATCTATACCATTGCAACGTTCATTATCTGTCCACTATTATCCTATTCTCCTCCCAGCCCCTCATGTCAGATATGCTTTATAACAGTGGTGCTATGCAAAATTTGTCATTTTGTGACTGAGATTTTTCATTCAGAATAAAGTACTCCAGGGTCCCCTATGTTGTGTAATGTTTTATGAGTTCATTGTTTTTCAGTGCTACGTTGTACTGAAGAGCAATGGTGTCTCTCTGGAGACTAAGGTGCGTCTGAAACAGACCATGGTCTTTGCTGTCACTTGTTATGCATCAGGGAGTTGGAAAATGACTAAGGAGGACAGAAGGAGAATTGATGCCTTTGAGCTGTGGTTCTGGAGTAGAGTATTGAGGATACCAAGGACTGCTAGGAAAACAAACATTCATCCCGGAAAGGGTTAAACCGGGTGGCTCCCTGAATGCAAGGATTCTGAGGCTCCATCTAACATACTTTGGATGTGCTGTAAGGAGGGACTAGTCCTTGGAGAGGGACATCATGCTTGGTAGGGTGGAGGGACAGTGCAGGAAGGGAAGACCCTCTATGAGGTGGATTGATTCAGTGACTGGGGTAATCGGGATGGTTGTATCGGAGACAGTGCGATTGGCACAGGACAGAACAGAGTTTAGGGCTGTTGTACATAGGGTCGCTATGAGTCGCAAGTAACTCAATGGCACATAACAACAATGTTGTAGTATTCCATTGTATGAATATACCATAGGTTTTTCTATACATTCATTTGTTAATGGGCACTTGCATTGCTTCCATTTCTTTGCTTCCGTAAATAAGGCAGCAATAAACGTGGTGTGCATACATCTGTTCAGATGGCAGTTATGATTTCTTTCCCAGTAGTGGCACTGCTGGGTCAAACAGTATATTTTTTAACTTTTTGAGAAAGTGCCAAACAGCCTTCCATAGTGGTTGCACCATTTTATACTCCCACCAGCAGTGAATAAGGGTTCCAATCTCTCCACAACCTTGCCAGCATTTTTCATTTGCTGCTCTGTTGAAGTTTGCTATTGTTACTGGGGTGAGACGATATCTCATAGTTGTTTTTTCAAGCCGTAATCTTTATGGAAGCAAACTGCCACACGTTTCTTCTGCAGAGTGGTTGGTGGGTTTGAACTACTAAGCTTTCCATTAGCAATGGAGTGTTTTCATCACGGTGTCACACAAGGGCTCTTTTTAAATGACCACACTAGCTTTTTAAATGTCAAAGAATTCTGGCTAACTAGAGTCTAGTTGTAAACGTCCCAGACACCAGCCCTTCGTTGCATGTTAATCTTGTTATTAACCACCCAACTTTCAGCTTGATTAAAACAAGCTGATTAGTTAATGCAGCTAGGTTCCATGGGAATATTACATACACCTTCCCCAGTTTGTTAGGACAGTGAGACCTGGAACCTGACCTACCTTGTCAGTGTGTCCTACCACTTTCATATCCTTCATTTGGGTGGAATATATATATGCCTGTTCCTTCTCGGGCAGGTATCCACCCTATACAGGTTCCCAGCTTTTGCAGGCTTTTCTGTATTACAATTTATATTCTCACCTGACATTTGCAGTGTTTTAATTTTTTCTAAGTAAATTAATGTAGATTTTCCCTTTTTACCAGGAAACACAATGTCATTCATTTCCCATCAGAGTGCAAAAGAGTCATTATTCCCTTGCTCACCTTTCTTAAACCCCAGAGTTGGGAGATTAGAAAGGCCCTGACCACATCCCTATCAGACGAAGCCCCCGGCTTTCCCAGGGGTACTGGTGATGGTGGGAGAGTGAGGAGAGCAGCAGCTGCCCAATGGCTGGACTCTGGCGGGGCTTCTGTTACCTGGCCAGATTGCCCTGCCAGGAGCCATCAGATCACTGAGCACTGCCTTTATATTCAGCTCCTATCACATTTTCTCACGGCTCTCTGAAGGTTTCTATTTTCTCTGTCCCTCTGCAGAGAGAGGGAGATAATATACCTTGATCCAGATTGAAATCCACATTGGGCACCACACACAAGTTGTGCTTCTTCCAGTCAATCAAACAAGACACATCCGTGAAGACAGTCATTGGCTGAGCTCGACCTGTCAGCATCAGAGGCAGGCCCGAAGGGCCATAGAGAAATACGTACAACTGCTAAAGAAAACTGCCCGCTTTCTGCTCTTAATGCCTATGCATTCTCTTCAATAAAACAAACAGAACCCTTACCTGGTTCACACTCCTGGAAATAAACAAATGTGCCAGGCAATTACGTATGAGGCCTTTTTCACACCAAAGCTGGGTGTGCGGCACCAGAGCTGACTCCACTAGAATCCCCAGAAATTGACTCTGGGTTTAATACATGTGAGTTACAGGTACAGTATTTGAAAAACAAGCTAATTTATTCATTTATTTGATTATAGATTGGAATGGCGCTGTGGTTCACTGTTCTTAGTTCTGGGGACTGAAATATGAATATCCAGATTTTATAAGCTAGATTCTTTTTATCCTAACTACACTTACCAGTACCTGACATCTGTTTGTTAATTTTTAATCTCTAAAATAGAAACTTGGAGAGGAGAGAAAATGTGCCTATCTTGTGTCTTCTGGAGAGTGGGAGGAGGAGGAAGAAATGCTTATCTTTCTTGATACTTTTCCACATTATCTAGCTATTAAAAATGAACATTCTAAAAAAGAGAACATGTTTAAAAATATAAAATGATGCATAGCCTTTATCAATTCTCTATTTCTTCCTTATCCGTAAAAGATATTCTCATGTGACACATTTCATAAAACGACTTTGATTCTCTCTTGTTGTTCTTTATACTCTCCTAAAATTTTATTTAAGTCCACAGCTTCAATACTAGAAAACACCTGGCATGTCCTGAGTATTTACTCTGTGTCGGACACTACACCTGGAGTTTCGCACACAGCATCTCTCTTGTTGCTGTCGATCTGAGCTGACTCACAGCTGACCCTCCTTTGAGTTTCTGAGGCTGTAAACTGTTCATCATCCCCTCCTCAAACCTAAAGAGCTGCTGATGAATTTGAACCACCTGAGAGGCACGGCCTTTGCATTAGCAGCACGATTCCCTATGGCCTGAGCCACCAGCTCTCCCTCCTCTCACACATCATAGTTAGCCTGAAAAACAACCCTGGGAGGGAAAATTCATGAGGTTGTTGTTAGGTGCCATCAAGTCAACTACAACTCAGAGCAATCCTACGGACAAGAGATCCGAGCCTGGTCCCACCTGCACACAGTCACAATCTCATCAAGTTCAGGCCACTGCTCTAGTCACTTTGTCAGCCCCCCAAGGGTTATCGTCCTTACCCCCCAAATCTTCCATGTGAGTTTGCATCTCACCTGGCAGCAGCCTGATTCTGGCAGCCATCAGTGTTGGAGTTTAATGAACTAAGCGTGCTGCTTATAGTCAGACATCTAATTGCCCCGTGAGTCCAGCATGAAATGCTTGTGACGTGGTCTTCACTGCAGCACAGCACTGTACTGATCTACAGAGGCTCACGATCTCTCTCTGGGGATGACCACTTCCAAGTCTACACCAGAATTTCCAGATAGCTGTTTGAATCTTCAAAACACGTCCTGTAAGCTCATAAACTCAACATGTTTCAAGTCGAATTCATCTTCTTTATCCCTCAGACCTGCTATTTAGGTTTGCACCTTGCCTGGCAGTAGTATGATCTGAGCAGCTGTCAATGCTAGAATTTGGATGCCAACTTCAGCCCTTTTCTCTCCTTCATCGATTCCTTTCAGCAGCCCTTCCTCTCCATTCCTACCACACTTAATTCAGACAAGTCCAGATTTTCAGATAATCTCTTGTCCAGTTTATTGACTTAATTACTTGCTGATCACTGGCTTGTCCCTCCCATCTTGTCCCATGCCAGGGACACTTCCTAGAATAATCACATAAATCTACATCCCACAATAAAATCACGCTAAATCTACAACTCAATCCCAAACTACTTCTCCAGCCTCAGCTCTTCCTTCTAGGCCATTCAGTCCACACTTCATTCAGACTGTGTTTCTTGTAAAAGTCACATGTGGTTCTGCACAGGCCATTCCTTCTAACAGAAATGTCCTCCTCTTTTTAAAATTCTGTTTCTTCTTTAGACCCACCTCAAATGCTAATCCCATCACTTAGCCATCCATGAGGCTTTGCTAGTCACAGCCTAATAACCATTACTCTCATTTCTGGACTTTCAAAGCTGTCTGCCTTTCAGAGCACTAAGAGCATCCACAACTGTTACAATGACTACTCATGTGCTGTTGCAATCATCTGCAAGCCTTTTAAGATATACTCTATTTCTGCACTGAGTACGGTCTTACACCTACTAGGTATACAAAACTGTTTGTTAAACAACTGTTTATAACAGTTTAAGTCAGAAATATGGAGCTAAGGGCCAAGGCCCAGAGGGGCTAAGGAACAGGTTCAGAGTCAAACAGGAAGCTCTCTGATTTTAAGTCCAGGGACCCTTCCACTACCTGCAAAGTAAGGATTTTTGTTCCCACTCTGTAGAATTTTTAATCCTCTAATGGAAGTAATATCCTTAGGCTTATGTGATCCATGAGCTGAATCAACACAGTTGCTGAACAGTAAACCAATTAATCCTGATAAACCTATAATTTATTGTCCTCCACTTTTTAAGAAGCCAAGGCACTCATCTGATGAGCTGTAATGCATCAGTATTACTGCTCTATGGAAGCAGCCGTCACGCATGGGAATGCCAATGGTTCACCAGCCTTGCGAAGCGGAACAGTGGAAGAGGGGTCACTGCATATAAAGCAGAAAATGTGAGCTCTGGCTCCTCTTTTACCACAAGAAACTTTGGTACCTCACTTTCTCAGATTCCATCTTCCCCATTGTAAATTATGCCAGAAATCTGTTCTTTGAAGTATGATGAAAAGAAAATCTTTCACATGTCTAGCTTCCTAAGATCTCCTCCAATCATAAAGACAAGCACTTCCCCCCATGTACCCAGAGAAACTTGTCCAACAGACAATCATGTGTCAGAATCTCAAGGGAAACCAGTGGTAAAATCTGTGCAGTCCTGTGCAATACGCTTCTAGACACAGAGTTCATATTATAATGTCTTTCCCAGAATTTGAATATAAGCACCATTTCTTTTTTGTTTGTTTGTTCTGGGGGTTTTTTGGTTATTGTTGTTGCTGTGTACCTTCTAATTGGATCTGACTGGCACAGGAGGAGCCTATCCCTCCTCCAATGGGGCATCTGGTGGAATAAGCAACATTTCTAAAGACTGGGCAAACTTTGTCATCAAAAGGATATGGAAATTGAAGAAATCCTGCTCGCCTGCTTAGAAAAGACCTTGGGGCACGGGCACAGAGCAGCAGCTGGCGTCAGGATCAGCTCCCCGAACAAGCCCATGCCGGCCACGTCAGCAGGGATGGAAAGTGTTACTGGTCGTCCTGGCACAGGGTGAATTTTGCTGCAGAGGAATTCAGCTGCCCCCAGTTCTGGTCCACTGTCAGAAAACAAAAAAGGAAAGTTCACTTTTTTCTTTGCTTCATTAACAAATTACTTTTAAAAAAAGAAACTTGGGGAGAGGGATTGCATAACAATGAAAGAGTTTTTCTTTTCAAGGAGAAGATTGATGGGGAGGAGAGGAGGGAGTGGGCAGGGAGTAAAGTGCAACAATGAATGCCTGAAAATCCTAAGTCTCTGTAAACTTTCATTAAAATTAATAAATTTGAAAAAATTGAGAAAAAAAGAAATTACTTAATGCAAATTATACACCTATGAGAGTCTAGTACCTAGAATACATAAAGTACTGTTGCAACTGAATTTTAAAAATGGTAAATCCCATTAAAAATGGACAAGAATTGGACAGATATTTGGTCAAGCTTTGATCTGCTGCACACAAGGTTATCACGAGTCCGAGTTGACACCTAACAACAACAAAGAAGAGATACAAATGGCCAAGAAATACAAGAAAAGATGCTCAACATCTTAGTCATTCGGAAACTGCAAGTCAAAACCACAGTGAAATACTACTTCATACACACTGGTTTGGCTATAATAAAAATAACACAGTAAAACCTGCAGAAATCAGAACTTGTATAAGGTGGAAACCTATCAGAGAAGGAAATGCAAATATTTTCTACTAGCAGAAAGCCATATACAAATGGCAAAACAGCACTCTTTCAAAGGCAGAGAATTTCTGAGACCCAGGCCCCAGGCAGTCTTACAGAGTTCTGGCTTTCACTACAGAAAGTGTTGGTAAAAGTGCAGAGAAACGGGTACATTCATGTATTGCTGGTAAAAATTTTAAATCGGGGAGCTCTGGTGGCCTAGTGGCAAGAAGCTGCACTGCAATCCCAGAGGAACTCGGTTCAAATCCACCAGATGCTCTGCCGGAGAAGGAGGCGCAATCTCCTCCTGTACCAGTCAGATCTGATTTGACGGTACACGCACACAAAATAATAAAAAAAAAAAATTTTTAAATCGTCCAAACACTGGAAAATATTTGGTGTTAAATTAAATTTAGATAAAAATGAAAGAGCCACTCTATGCATATATCCAAAAGGAATGACAAGAAGTATTTATACAGATACTATACATAAATGTTCACAGCAGCACAATTCACAATAGCCAACATGTGGACACAACCAAATCCTGGTCAACAGAGGAGGGCAAAACCAGACATGTTACAACCAGACAATGGCTTATTGTTCACTCAGAAAAAGCAAGGAAGTTCTGATGCATTTTTGGAAATGGGAGAACCTTGAAAACACTATTTTGAGTTAAAGAAGCCAGGCACAAAGGTTACATATGTATGATTCCATTTAGATGAAAAGAAGAACAGACAGAAACAGAAAGCAGACGAGTGGATACCAAGCCTTGGAGGAGGAGAGTGGGAATTAACTGGGTAATAGATGCAGGGTCTCCTCTGCAGGTGATGAAAAGGCTTGGAACCACATATTTGTGATGGGTGGCCAACAATGATAGCACGCTATCAACCCATAAGCACTGTAGATATGAAAGGAGTACTAAAGAAAGGTACATGGTAGAGATTTTATTATTCTCATATATAAAAGAATTTTAAAAATATTCCAATCTGGGATGCAACTTTGGGCAAAAGTGAGAAAATGACTAAAGGGCTGGAAGCAGAAACTACTGAGTAAAGGATAAACTGATTGGATTTGAGCATAAAGTAGGGCTTTTTTTGCTCTAGGTCAAGTCATCTGAATGCTGTGCCAGATACTACAGGAAGATAAGGCAGAAGGCATCCATCTGTCCCAAATAAATTACTACCTCTTGGGTTTGATTTAAGAGTCTAAAGACAACGAAGGAAGGTGGGCAGAGAAACTATTTCCAAACCAATGCAAAATGCTGACACCTAACAAATCACACATAAAGAATTCCTTTGTATTCAAAGCATCTCTCTGGCCAAGAGTTCAGGTACCTTTCACATTCACAGCACACTCCTCCCAGTCTAAGTGGGCTGGGAATTGGCAGGTTTTCTTTCATTTCACTTACAGAAGAAAAGAAGGGGGGAGATAAGGAGGAACATGTCCTCAGGTCAAGTAGGATACATCCAAAGAGTAGGAGGGAAACACAGACAGCCAGAAAGTTTCCACTCTCACTGTTCTTAGGAAAAGCTGACACCTGGAATAAGGGATAGCAAATTGCCCTTTCCCCACTTCTACCCTAATTCATACTCACAAATGGAGAAGGAAAAACAGACAGACAAATCACCTTACGTAGTGCTGATAGTTTGTGGTAAGAGCAATTCCATTCGGTAATTTCAAAATGGTTTCATCCTCTACCCTGCAAAGCCAAGCCAAAGGAGATGTTAAAGATTCTAAAATTCATCTCTACCTGGTAACATTTTGTCCCATGAGCCATTCCTAAGCCCCAAACTACTGGAATTCAGTCAACAATTCACCAAGAGAAAAATGGCGATTTTTCAAGCTCATTTAATCTAGTAAAAAGCCGAGGTGAATCTTGTTCTTGTTGTTAGGTGTCATCAAGTCATATAGGGCTCACGGCGAGTCATATATGATTTCTGAGCCACAGATCTGACCCCTGTCCTGTCCTGTGTCACCCTCATCATTTCTGATGCTCTTGGGCCCATCCATTGCTGTAGTCACGGTGTCAATCCACTTAGTTGAGGGTCTTGCTCTCTTGCTGAGTCCTCACGTGCCCAAGCATGATGTCCTTTTCCAAAGAATATCCTCTCCTAGCAACAGGCCCAAATGATGTGAGATGAGGCTTTGCCAGCCTTGCCTCAAAGGGCCACTCTAGTTCTACTTTCCCAAGACCTGTTTGATTTGGGGGCAGTTCATGGGATATTTAAAGCTCTTTTCCAACACAACTCAAAGGTATCAATTCTTCTTCTGGCATCCTTATTCATTGTCCAGCTCTCAGACGCATACCAAGTGATGGAAAAACCATGGCCTAAATCAAGTGCACCTTACTCTTCAAGCTGACATCACTGCATCTCAGTAATTTGAAGAGGTCCCTGACAGCAAACTTCTCCAATTCAATGTCTCCTGATCCCCTGACTGCAGGAACCAAGTGTGTCAGTTGCGGATTCAAGATGTAAACACTGACAGTTTCAGTCTTTTCTCCATCTATTATGATGTTGTTATTGATCCAGTGGTGAGAATTTTTGTCTTCATGATGTTGAGATGCAATACAACATCAAGATCTTTGATCTTTGATCTTCTGCAGCAAGCGTTTCACATCTCCTTCACTTTCCGCAAGGTTGTGAGCTGCATAACACAGGTTGTGGGTGAGTATTCCTCTGATCCTGATGCCACATTCTTCTCCATAGACTGTTTGGACTCCCTGACTGTTTGGACAACAGCTTCTTGGTCTAGGCATAGGTTTCATGTGAGCATAATGAATTATTCTAGAATTCCCATTCTTTTCAGTGTTCGCCATAGCTTGTTATGATCCACACAAATGCCTTTGCATAGAACACAATAAAACAGAAATAGACATTCTTTTGGTATTCTCTGCTTTCAGCCAAGATCCATCATCTAAATAAATGTACTTACTTGTTAAAAGCTAATGTTTTATAAGAAATTTGGGGGTTTAATAAAATTAGTGTCAAGGTGCCAGTGGATCAAGAGATCAAACTATGCACCTACTGGCAATTGGAAAATAACGGCTGAGAAAAATTAAAGAGCTATGGTGTCTCTTCAAGCCAAGACGTACCCAAAGTTCTCCTCAGAGAGGCTTCCATTCACCTTTATGCTGAAGTTACATCTGATCTGCAAAGCAATGAGTGTGGTGTGAGATTTAACACAAACCAAGAGAGACATAAAAATCTCTTTTAGAAAACACTATTCTTTAAAAAGCATTTCTTTTCACCTAAATCATAAGAAAAACTTTTCATTTCCCCCCTCCCATATTTTGTCGTTGAGAAAAACACAACCAAACAGAGCAACCCCACAGGTTCTACACACAATCCAGCCCCAGGGGCTACATCCTCAGAAGGGGCAGCCACTGCCACCCTCCTTCTCGGAGGTGTTCCTCCCTCACTGACATAAACTTACTGCCCTCCTAGGTTCCAGCTGAATCTTTTCAGTTGCTTTTGTGAATCGATCCTACACAGATAGCTCTTAAAGAGCATCATTTTCAAGGCAGACATTTTTAATATTATTAAATTTAAGCTACACTATTGCTTGGTTTTTTATTTTATTATTTTTTTAATTTTACTTTAGTATTTTTTGTGCATATACCATCAAATCGGATCTGACTGGTACAGGAGGAGATTGTCTCCTTCTCCAGCAGTGCATCTGGTGGATTCGAACTGTGCACCTCTGGGATTGCTGTGCAGCTTCTTGCTACTAGGCCACCAGAGCTCCCTTACTGCTTGGTTTTAAGAAGTCTTTAGGAGAAGCATCTTTTTAAAACCTTGCATCTCAAAAACACCCCACAAAAAAAACCCTTGAATCTTTCCAATTCACATTAAACAGCCTATTTTAAAAATTCTACCAGAGGTGCACGGTTCGAATCCACCAGATGCTCTGCCGGGGAAGGAGGGGCAATCTCCTCCTATACCAGTCAGATCTGATTTGACGGTACATGCACACAAACATAATAAAATAAAACAAAATTAAAAAAAAATTCTGAATCTTAAATATATTGAATCCTATATTATAATCCCAGTCTTTTAAGTAGTCACAAACTACCAGGAAATCCTACTTTTTTGTCCTTTGCTGTTCTCCCAAGCATATTCCTTCTTTGGTTTTGAATGGCACTATCACTTTTTTAAGGGGCCCCTGTATGGCACAAATGTTTAAGTACTGGATTACCAACTTAAAGGCTGGTGGTTCAAATCTATCCACAAGGACTTCAGAAGTAAGGCCTGGCAATCTGCTTCTGACAAGCCACAGCCTTGAGAACTCAGCCCTGAGCTAGCACTGATGCAACAGCGCCAACAACTATCATTTTTCTCTCTCTTCTATTATTTCCATATGTGGAACTTTCCTAGTGTTTTTTTCTTTGATTTTTACTTCCCTGATGTTATCAGATTTTTTTCCCTTCCAATTTACATCACTGTTCTACATTATTTCCCATATTCAATCTGTTTCCTTTCTCTTTCTTTACAACATGGCAGACAGGACTCGAGAGTTAAGACTTTCTGAGTTAAAATTTTAGCACTCTAAAATGCAAAGCACTTCTACAAAAATTTCCTTATTTTCTTTTATTGTACCTTTGGAAAAGAAAGTGGTAACCACCAAGGTTTATTACCCAGAGTAAGAAAAAAAAGAAATGAGTGAAAATGAAAAGCCCAAAGAAAGTTCTCTCTGGATTCAGGGCCTTTTGACTGTCACATAACCAACAGGAAGGCTGTGTTAGAGATACAGAAACCAAAACCATTCAGTCTTAAAGTTTTAGTCATCATCACGGAAAGAAGTAAGACTAACCAGTTTCTTCCCAGTTCTATAGTATAGGCATCTCTTGAAAATGCATGACTTACCCAGAAGCAGCACTACTGCCAAAAGAACAGCTCACCTTGGGGTGCACAACGCTGATTTTGTGTAAAAAATCCTTTATAATCAAAGAGTCCATCATCAGAATTCTGGGCTTTTCATCAACCTGGAATCACACAACAAAAGACACCCGCCACACATACACAAACCCAAGAGCACAGATGAATCAAATCAGATGTTTATTTCCTAAAAAAGTCACTGCACCTAAAAGCTTTTTTGACACACAAGGGGAAGATTCCCCTTTGGGTTTAGGAAGGAGACTTCTAAATAGCCATCATTTCCTAGGAACCTATATCATGAACCTTCCGGAGACCCTGGAATAAAGATTAGTGTGAATCAACCACCTCAGAACCACATTTCAGGGGATAGTTAAAGTAGTTCAGATTGGAGCTGAGAACAGTGTTTGTATCTTAATGCCATCATTTTAATGTACAATACAAAACGACTTGTATTAAGAATCTCAGTGGAATTAAAGAAGCAGATACTAAAAGGAATCCTATTTTTTAAACACCAATCTATTCATTCAAACATTTATTTATAAATAAAATTTATAGAGCAAACAGCACCAAAGTCAGAAGACATGTCCTAGTACAGATTCCATATAAATTAAATAACCAAGAAAAAAATTACCTAGCTTCCCTAGTCTTTATTCCCTAATATGAACAATAGGGAGACTTACTCTTACTACTTCACATAATTATGTCTTGGTCCCCCTGCCCATCTGGTACTTTGATTTAGGTGAAAATTTACAGAGCATATTGGTTTTCCATTCATACACATTTTTGGATTGTGACATTGATTGCAATCTCTACAACATAATAGCATCACTCCCTGTGTTTTCTGTTTCCATCCATCCTTCTTTGCTATCCTCCTTCTTGTCTTCTGTGCTGTATCCCTGGGGAAATACTACCCTTTTTGATTTCATGGAGGATTGTTCTAAGGAGTATGCATCTCCCGGTGGTTACTGCTCACCTTACTGCTCTAAGGAGTCCTTAGCTCCCTGCGGTTACTGCTCACCTTACTAGCCTATCATCTGACTGAAAGTTGAGTCATGGGAGCAAGTTCAGCTCCAGGCTTGAAGGAGACCTATGGCCCACAATCTCAGGCTTTCCACCACTCAGTCTCCATCAGACTAGCAAGTCTGGTCTACTATTACTTTGAGTTCTGTTCCACATTTTCCTCCCGCTCCATGCGAGACCTCCTTACCAAGATCCTTGTCAGGGTATTCAGCACTGAGAGTCAGTGACCAGTTGTCCTTCTGTACCACCAGGGCCACTGAGGCTGGAGTTTACAACCTCTAGTAGTCCTTTGAACTGGTTTTTCCCCCCCATAGTGTAATTTTAGTCAAACTTTACAGAAAGAATGGATTTTTTTAATCCTTCATTGATATACATTTTCCTTCCTCCTCTCACCAATTCCCTTTGTACTGCATGTCTTCTTCGAGATTCTCAACTGCCATACACACAGTGTCTAGGCATCCATTCCCTTCAGTCTCTCCCTTCCATTCCCGTGTAGTGTTCATTATCAGTTCATTCTTTCCCTTCGCACATGTCTATCCTATTTTTACAACAGCATTGTTAGTAGTATTTGTCCTTTTGTGACTGGGATATTTCATTCAGCATAATATCTTCCAGACTCTCCCATGCTGTGTAGTGTTTTACAAGTGCATTGTTTTTCAGTGCTGTGTAATAGTCCACTGTGTGGATGTACCACAGTTTTCCTATCCATTTGTTTGTTAACAAATACTCAAGCTGTTTCTATCTCTTTGCTCTTGTGAATAATTCAGCAATAAACATGAGTGTGCATACATCTGTCCATATCACAGCCTAGTTTCTTTATATTCCCAGTAGTGGGATAGCTAGGTGAAATGTTATTTCTATTTCCAACTTTTTAAAAAAATGCCAGACTCCCTTCTACAGTGGCTGTACCATTTTACATTCCCACCAGCAGCGAATGAGAGTTCTAATCTCTCCACATCCTCGCTAGCATTTGTTGTTTGAAGGCTTGATGAACTTTGCTGTTGTTGCTAGGATGAGATGGTATTTCATTGTTGTTCTAATTTGCGTCTCTCTGATAAGTAGGGATTTTTGAATGTCTTTTTTGGTGAAGTGTCTATTAATATCCTGTGCCCATTTTGTGAGTGGATTGTTTGCCTTTTCTTTTGAGGTGGTGGAGTATTCTATAAGTTTTATATGTTAATTCATTACCAGATGTATCATTGACAAATATTTTTTTTCCCTGGCCTGTGGGCTTCCCTCTTATCCTGTTGGAGGAGGATTTTTGGTGTGCATAGAGATTTGATTTTTAGATAATCCTATTCATCTATTTCATCCTCTCCTGATTATAGGATTTTAGTTTTGCTTGGAACTCTATTCCTGTCATAGATTAGGACTTCTAGAATTGTTCCTATGAACTTTATAGTCTTTGGGTTTACTTCTAAGTCACTGATCCACTTTGAGTCAGATATTTTATATGGTTTGAGGTACGAGTGAACTGTTTCTTGCATCTTTTATTTTCTTCACACTTTGCCACAGATGGAGGGAGACCAATAGTTGTACTTGAAATGGCAGCTCGCAAGCTTTTAAGACTTCACTCACTACTCATCAAGGTGGATGCAGAACATTCTCTGTGAACTGTTAGGCCAACTGACCTTAGCGTCCTCCAAGACTATCATCCTGAGCCTCAGACTCAGAGACTCACGCCCTCAAGGTGTTTGGTTACAGCTAAGTTTCCATAACCTTGCCCTCTGTATGCTCAACTATATTCTTGGATGTTATGGAATGGAATGTGTCAATTAGCTAGATCATGACTCTCTGCATTCTGTAATTATCCTATGTGTGGTAAATCCTAATCTCTTTATGGATGAGGCAGGTTTAAGGCAATTTAGTAATGATTATCACCCATTAGGTGCTAAGCCAATCAGCTGTCAGGGGATTAGGGTGGAATGCAATCAGGTTACAGCCCTGAGCAGAAGGAAGGGGAGTGTCCCTAGAGTAGTGAGGCTTGCATCATCTTTTCTCTCATAAGAGATGAAAGAGAAGAGGCTAGACAGGGAAGGGGTTTCAGTAACGCTAAGAAAGAAGAGTCAGGAGTAGAAAGCTATCGTTGGACTTAGGTTTTCTGCATGTACGCTTCCTAGACGGAGGAAATGATTGATGCTAAGACATATGGAGATCTTCAAGGAACGCTGAGCCTACAGATGGTGAAAGGAAACAAAGACCTTCCTCCATAATTGATAGAGAATGAAAGCCTTCCCTTAGAGTTGTTGTTTGTGTTGTCAGGTGCCATCAAGTTGACTATGACTTATAGTGACCCTAAGAGCAATAGATCTGGACCTTGCCATCCTCACAATTTCTGCGATGCTCAATCCCACTGTTGGTCACTGTATCAAACCATCTCCTTGAGAGTCAGCCTCTCTTTCTCTGATCCTCTTTCTTTCCCAGGGTGATGTCCTTTTCTAAGGACTGCCCACCCCCACCCTGATAACATGCCACAAGTATGGGAGATGATATTCAGCATTCTTGCCTCTAAGGAGCACTCTGCTTGCATTTCCTCCAAGACAGATTTTTTTGTTCTTTCGACAGTCCATGGGATACTTAGTACTCTTCTTCAGAGCCTTAACTCAAAGGCATTGATTCTTCTGTCATCCTTAATTCATTGCTCCACTTTCAGATACAAAGGAAGCAAGTGAAAAGAGCATAGCTTGGCTCAGACGCACCTTACTCTTTAAACTGACATACTTGCTCTTTAGCACTTTGGAGAGGTCCTCGACAGCAAATTTCCTCAATGTAACACATCCTCTGATTTACTGGCTAGTGTTACCATGGGTGTTGACTGTGGCTCTAAGTAAAATAAAATGGTTGACAACTCCAATCTTTCCTCTATATATCAAGATGTTGCCTATTGATCCAGTGGTAAGGATTTTGTTTTCTTGAAGTTGAGATGGAATCCATATTGAAGGTCATAGTCTTTGATCTATTGTAGTAAATGCTTCAAGTCTTCTTTACTTTCTGAAGTAAGTTTGTGTCATCTGCATAATGCCTAGGCTATTGCTGAGTCTGATGCCACATTAGAGTAGGTATCCTTAGAGTCTGGTTGTTGTTGTTATGTGCCGTCAAGTTGGAACTGACTCATAGCTGAGCCCCAGTGATTTTCTGTTTGTTTTTGTGTGTGTATGTGAACCATCAAATCAGATTTGACTGGTACAGGAGACTGTCTCTCCTTCTCCAGCAGGGCATCTGGTGAATTCATACCACACACCTCTGAGATTGCAGTGCAGCTTCTTGGCACTAGGCCACCAGAGCTCACCCAAGCCCCAGTGATTTTTCAGAGGCAATAAATAGTATGGGAGGAGACTGCCCATCTTTCTTCTGTGAAGCAGCTGGTGAATTCTAACTGCATTTCTTTGAGTTGGCAGTGCAATTCTTTACCACTAAGCTACCAGAGCCTTGAATTTGGACTTCTAGTCTTCCAAACTGGGAAACAATAAATTTCTGTTTGTTATAGTAGCACTAGATAATTAAGATACATATACACAAATATCACCTATCAAACCTGTATATTTGTGGGTATAGTCCCATTTATCTTTCACCCTGATAGCTTGTATCTACTTGGAAATTGTTACTACTCTTACTGCAGAACTGGGTGTGTAATAGCATTTCTCTTTGTTGCCTTTAACTCTTGTGCTCCTCCCAGTGCCTTCCTGTGCCTTGATCATTTGTGCTGACCTCCCTCCTGTTGTATACTGTCTTTCCCTTCATCCAAGTTCACACATGTCTACCCTCTAATTAGTGATTTTCCTTCCTCCCCTTCCCCTCCCTGGTAACCGTCAAAGAATGTTTCTTTCTGTGTCACTGAATTGTTTTAAGGATCAAATAATATGAATGTATATTTTACACATGATAACAACAATAGATACACTGTTGGAATGCTTCCTTTGTGACATGTATCTTACAGGTGCTATATATACACATTACCTCATGACAATCTTGGAAGGTAGCTATTACCAGTCCCTCATTGTGCATTAAAAAATAAGGCTCAGAGTAACTAGTAACTTGCTTAAGATCAGTCAGCTGCTCAGTGGTAGAGCTCAAATATGACCCCCTA